AAGCTTTTCTTCTGAGTCTTTCAGAAGAAATTCAAAGAAGACTAGAAGCCACTGGCATGAAGGGTAAACGTCTAACTCTCAAAATCATGGTACGAAAGGCCGGGGCTCCTGTAGAAACTGCAAAATTTGGAGGCCATGGAATTTGTGATAACGTTGCCAGGTAAGCTCACCTCAAAAATGATATTGGTAATTATGTTTCAGTACAAATTGTGTAAGTAATAGAAAATGAAGAAAACCAAGGAGGAGTTTGAATAAAGACCTGTAAGCCCATGTTATCTGGTATTCTGTAGAAGCAGGCATCAGCCTAAGGCATTCAGCTTAGGTTAATACACTTGGTTTCAGCCAGGCCCACACACAGGAGGTTGGTTTGACAGCATTCCAGACCTTGGCAGCCTTTGCTTGGCATCTTTGGGCTGTTAACTTTACTGCATGGACAGAAAGAAAGGGCAAGGCTGCAGAACAAAGGGACTGCTATAATTTTTGGACTTGGTGAAACTTTATTCCTGAGGGAAATTTCAGTGTAGTTCTTAAAAACCGTGATACAGACCGGGTGTGGTGGCTCATGCCTGTAATCCCAGCACTTTGGGAGGCCAAGGCAGCTGGATTACTTGAGGCCAGGAGTTTGAGACCAGCCTGGCCAACATGGTGAAACTCCATTTCCATTAAAAGTACAAAAATTAGCCGGACCTGGTGGCATTCGGCTGTAGTCCCAGCTACTCAGGAGGCTGGGGCAGGAGGATCGCTTGAACCCAGAAGGCAGAGGTTGCAGTGAGCCAAGATTGTGCCAATGCACTCCAGCCTGGGCAACAGAGTGAGATTTTGTCTCAAAAAAAAAGATACACAAAGGCAGACTAATAGTAGCTAGAAAAATGCTGGTGAAGGAGAGCAACTTCATTTACATAGGTGTATAAATGTAATTGGTAAAAAGATGAGTGAATCACTGTAATGTCTGAAAACTGGTGAAAGCATTTAAAAACCTGTTTTTTTTTTGTTTGTTTGTTTCTGTTGAGATGGATTCTGACTCTGTCACCCAGGCCTGAGGGCAGTGGCGCGATCTGATCTCACTGCAACTTCTGCCTCCTGGGTTCAAGCGATCCTCCTGTCTCAGCCTCTTGGGTAGCTGGGATTACGGGGCATGCCACCATGCCCAGCGAATTTTTGTATTTTCAGTAGAGATAGGGTTTCACTATGTTGGCAAGGCTGATCTTCAACTCCTGACTTCAAATGATCCGCCCACCTCAGCCTTCCATAGTGTTCGGATTACAGGCGTGAGCCAACGTACCTGGACTGAAACCCTCGTTTTTTATGTCAGGGCCAACTACTTAATATTAAACTTCATGTAAGATTTGTGACCAATATGAAGATATGTGGTTTTATGTTAGACTGTATGTCATCTGTGAAACCAACGTTTTGAGGCTTTTGACACTTTTGAAAGCTACTTATAAGGAACTATGAAGTACAGTTTCATTGAAGATTAGCTCATGCCAACCATACATGGTGCATTCATGTATATGATGATATTGCTAAGTCATGAGATGACGGCTCTTAAACAGAGAAACTCCCAAGTTACCATGAAAGCAGGAATTACAAATTACAATTAGACAACATGATTTATGAAATACATTTTTTATCAGTTGGTTATCTTGAATTATATTTACTGAAGTGTTACGATATATACATGTATCTCAAATAGTAAATAGTGGTCATTTATTTATTTAAAAACTTATTTATGTAGAGATAGGATCTTGCCCTGTTGCCCAGACTGGCCTTGAACAATCCTTTTGCCTTGACCTCCCAACGTTTTGGGATTACAGGTGTAAGCCACTGTGCCCAGTTTTTAGTAGTGATTTCTATAAGCAGATGAAGTAATGCGATTGTCTTCTTAAACATTTCTATGGGAAAATCAGATTCAATTTATAGTATTTTTTTTTTCTGGGACTATTTCTTGTTTAAAGGCCTGGAACTTCATTTGTTCATTAATCCAAAACACGAAATAACTTTCCTTTGGAAAGAGAACTGGTAGTAATTTGTAATCTGTTACTGAGTGAGTAATTCTGTTTGTAATGGGACACCCTGCTCATGCCAGAGAAGCTCAAACAGCTCTGAAGGAAATGGTGGGTGAGGTCATCACATCTTTGGGACCAAGTAATGCTGATGGATCATTTGGTCCTCTCTCAAGAGTTCTTAAAGATCTAAGAATTGTTTATTGGCTTTACTGTAAACACGAAGGAGAGTCAAACAACAACATACCGAGAATTCATCTTTCTCTTCTGAATATTTGCTGTACCTCAGCATACATAATCTTGGAACCTAAAACTTCTCTTGGAATCAAGAACATTGTGTTTACCATTCATTTGTGCTTTAGCTGGAAAATATGTATTCATTTATGCATGTGTTAGCTAAAATATACCTTTTTCTAAATTTCTCAACTGATTTGTAGTTGACCCAGGTGTCCATTATCGTTATTACCTTGAAGTTCCAGTGTTCCATAATTTTTCTTTCCCCCTTCTTTGCCAGTGTAACTAATTTGGTATTTCTGGCTTCCTGGAAGGGGGGCTGTGGCATTCACTTTTATAATCTTATTTGTAACTGTGTTTCCAACTTTTCTGTAACTCTTTTAAACCATTCCATACTACTTTAGTACTAGTGAATACATATGGAATGAAGCTTTTGTTTTACAATTCTATCACTTACAGGACTGTAACTCTTGACCAGGCAACAGATAATGCAAAAATAATTGGAAAGGCGATGCTAAACATGTTTCATACAATGAAACTAAATATATCAGACATGAGAGGGGTAAGTGTATAGTAACATTGTAAATTCTGACTTTCTGTAATTTTTGTGTCATTTGAGGCTTGCTCTCAGAATGGTTTTTGCTGGCATATAGGGACTTTATATGTAGGTCTTTAGCTGCTTTGTGATATAAGGAAAAGAGAAACAAAAATTCTTGACTTTCTCCATTTTGATCTTCTTCATTTTAGAATAATTTTCTCAGATTCTTACTGTGCTTTTCCAAGGTATCCCTAATTAACCAGGGGCTAATATACATGTCCTCCCTGTTCTTGTTTCCTAGAAGTAGATATGACTGTGAGGAGTATGAATACATAAATTTTGTACCTTTAAGTTCCTTTTTAATCAGAAACATACTCTGCTGTCTGCCATATGATGACCTAGAAGGGAGTGAAACCACAGGCACATCAAGATGCCTTTGAAACAGGCAAGAGGCATCAAAATGTCAAAACCATAGATTTTTTTTGTGGGTTTTTTTTAATTTTTTTTTTGAGACGGAGTTTTTGTCCTGTTGCCCAGGCTGGAGTACAGTGGCGCGATCTCAGCTCACTGCAACCTCCACCTCCTGGGTTCAAGCAGTTCTCCTTCCTCAGTCTCCCGAGTAGCTGTGGGTACAGGTACCCGCTACCACGCCCTTTTGTATTTTTAGAGACGAGGTTTCACCATGTTGGCCAGGCTGGTCTCAAACTCCTGACCTCAGGTGATCCACCTGCTTCGGCCTCTCAAAGTGCTGGGATTACAGGCATGAGCCACTGTGTCTGGCCCCCATCTCTACTAAAAATACAAAAATTAGCCGGCTGTTGTGGTACATGCGTTATAGTCCCATCTACTCGGGAGGCTGAGGCAGGAGAATCACTTGAACCCAAGAGACAGAGCTTGCATGAGCCAAGATCATGCCATTGCACTCCAGCCTGGGTGACACAATGAGGCTGTGTCTCAAAAGAGGAAAAAAAAAAAAGAACCTTTGTAGGTTTAGTTTATTGTGTGCATGTGTAAGTTAAGGGTTGTTCTAGCTTGATTGTGGACTTTGTTGAAGGATTAGTCACTAAGCCGGCCGTAATTGTAATTTCTCCCTGAAATACTGGTACAGTGGCACTTTATGGAGGGGTCTGTGGTGTGCCTGCTGTTCACCAGTCCCACCGGTATTTTTTGAGAAGTATTTCATTTTAAAAAGATAAAAATAGTTAAGTTTCCAAGTAGCCTGTCCTCTCTTAAAATTTTTTTTTATCCTAATTTAAAACCTTAGTTGACCAGAACATCAGTGAAATACAGTATTCCACTTGTTTGGATTTTCTGATTTTAAAGACGTTTTGGTATATTTTGGGAGAATTGGATACTCTGAAGTTTGAGATGAATGACCACTCACTAGCTAGTCTAGAAATTGTTTTTGTAATAAGTCATATAGAATGCTGTTGTTTGAATACTTTCATTTACCTTTATTCTAGAAACGGGATCTAGGAGGTAGTGAAAAGGATTTGCTGAGGATTTTGCTTAGCTGAATTCATATTTTACTTTAGTTTTCCTGGAAGCATACTCTTTATTCTGGGTTCTAGGTTGGGATTCACGTGAATCAGTTGGTTCCAACTAATCTGAACCCTTCCACATGTCCCAGTCGCCCATCAGTTCAGTCGAGCCACTTTCCTGGTGGGTCATACTCTGTCCGTGATATCTTCCAAGTTCAGAAAGCTAAGAAACCCACAGAAGAGGAGCACAAAGAAGGTTGGTGGTCATCAGTGGGGTTCTCGTTTAGGTGCTGCTTATGTCCTTGGAAAGACGGCAGTTGGTTTTAAACTTGACACAGCTTTATGTGATTTAAAAAAAATTATATTCTTCATTATGATGTATCAATAATAAAGTTTTTTTATTTGTAATGGACAGAGGAAATCAGGGATTAAAGGCCCTGCCCGATGATCTGAAGAGGCTATTTTATGTATTTTCTCTTCGTAGTATTTCGGACTGCTGTGGATCTGGAAATATCATCTGCTTCTAGAACTTGCACTTTGCCACCTTTTCCCGCACATCTGCCGACCAGTCCTGATACTAACAAGGCTGAGTCTTCAGGGAAATGGAACGGTCTGCATTCTCCTGTCAGTGTGCAGTCAAGACTTAACCTGAGTATAGAGGTCCCGTCAGCTTCCCAGGTACATTTTTATAGTCCTAAATATAAGTACATTTTATACTCTTAAATATAAGTACAAAAATATAAGTTTACAAATGAAAATGGCATTTTTATTTCTTCATCCATTTAACCAAGAAAGGGAGAATGGGTCACTTGTTCGGGTAAATCATGATGTTGGATTCTAAATAAGCAATAATTGGGTTGAATGAAAGTGCTTTTGCAAAGATTTGCCACTCTTGCAAGTTGTAAAGCATAGCTGAAAGGCAGTCCTCCTGTGGACTGCCATTGTCTGTGACAGTGGTCATCATGTAGACTTACTGTATTCAGCAAGGCAGCTTTGGTGATTAGTGGTGAAGTAGAGGCCTTATGTCGAAGGGCTTTTGCAGTATTTGCAAACAGGTCTCTGGAGTTTTGGATGGTTTAATTCAGCTTGTGTCGGCTGTACATGTGATATGCTGCTGGCATCCCTTGGTCCTTGAAAGTAAGGTAGCACCTTAAGCTATATTGGGCAAGTTCATTTGTGCCCCCGCTCCCCCTGCATGGAAGGAAGCAGGAGATGTTACATACTGGCTGTAAAACTAGGGGAAGGGGCAATGCTGTGATATGCTCGTATGGTGACAGATACCCACAATTAGTTACTCCTGGCAGGTAAGATTGGCCTACCCAAGTTGACGGGATTGTATGTTTCCAAAGGGCCAGATGTGCATGGACAGGTGGAGGGAGGCCCTGGTCAAAGGAACAGTGGGCTCTGTCCTGCAAGTTAGAGAAAATTCAGCTTCTAGAAACCCTTTCTTCCAGTGTGCTGCTCTCAGAGTAGAATTATCTGTATTTTGGGGCAGTCTCTCATCTGAGAGGTGAACTTTTGACTCAGGACTGTTAACCTGTCCAGAATTTTAACATGTGCCTCAGGCCTTCACCCCTCCCCAGGGGTGGGATCTAATTTGAGCTTCACCAAGGTATCCATATCTGTTGGCCCCAATTGCAGGACATTCTGTGAGTATATTTGGACTTACCTGGTCATGTGGTAGTGGCCAGTAGTATATACACTTTTCTCCAGACTACACGTACTTCAGGCTTCAATGACAAAAGGCCAAGACGTTCCAAAAATGTGCTGATTTGGGGGTGGCTTTCCTAGCTTGATGGTCTGTCTGTACCTTACATTGATTATCCAGTGTTCAAATTGAAATGGAAAGTGGCATGTTAATTCCCAAACACCTCATCTCTGAGCACGCTTTAATAAACTTCAAACTCATATGTTTGGCATTTTATAGCTGGATCAGTCTGTTTTAGAAGCACTTCCACCTGATCTCCGGGAACAAGTAGAGCAAGTCTGTGCTGTCCAGCAAGCAGAGGCACATGGCGACAAAAGGAAAGAACCAGTGAATGGCTGTAACACAGGAATTTTGCCACAACCAGTTGGGACAGTCTTGTTGCAAATACCAGAACCTCAAGAATCGAACAGTGACACAGGAATAAATGTAATAGCCCTTCCAGCATTTTCACAGGTAAGTTAAATATGGGAACCCTCTGCTGTAGTTTCAGTATTCTCACCCCCCTGCTCCAGCTCAGGACCTGTCTCACTTCCCTTTCTCCCGTATCTGACACCACTTCCACTGGGAAGGGGAGGGAGGGAAGAGTGGGCTTGTCTCCATCTCCTGCGTCTGCAGGATGTAGACACTCCGAGCAGCCTCCCGCTGAAGCCAGCAGAGGGAAGAGACGGGGGAGGGCACGATAAGACAGAAGCACATTGATCTGGCGCAAACAGATCAGTGGCCACACTTGAATACAGCAGAGTGGAGATGTGTAATCCTACATAGGGACAGCAACAACCCGAGCTCCTGTTTTCATGTTTTGCTTCCCATTTTCTACTAGTGCATTTTGCCCAGGTTGCTCTGCTGTTGTAGTGGGTTTTTTTAAGTTAGTACTCTTAATTCCTTGTTCTTGCTCTAACCATTTTGAAGAGTTAATCAGCTTTGATATTACGGAACCGTTAAGAATTCGTACAGATCAGAAAAGTAAGATTTGAAAACAAAATCTATTTTGTGAAAAAAGATAAACCAGCTACCATCTAGAAGGGAGTTCAGGTTTGACTTTGACCTTGTCTTTTCCACTAGGTGGACCCTGAGGTATTTGCTGCCCTACCTGCTGAACTTCAAAGGGAGCTGAAAGCAGCATATGATCAAAGACAAAGGCAGGGCGAGAACAGCAGCCACCAGCAGTCAGCCAGCGCATCTGGTGAGCCTTGGAAGTGGCATGTAACAAAAATGAAGATAAAGAGTAATGGAGTCACTGTTGTCTAATTATTGCAGTATATAATGGCCAAAGTCTAAGCTGTTCATTGCATTAAGAGCTCTTCATATTGGGATAATATCTGAAGTTTACAGTATGAGTAAATATCGTCATATTTTAGTTGGATTTGTGTCTGTACTTTCAGGATTTAAACACACCACTTTTTACTTTTTTAAAAAGTTGGGATAGGACATTACCAGAAGTGTCTTGAATACTTGTTCAGCTAGTTGTCCTTTGAGATGAATAAATCAAAGGAGTCCTTTGAGATGAATAAATCAAAGGATGTAGGTTCAAAATGCATCACAAACACCAAACCCACATTTATTACTACCCATCATAGATGAGCAACATGCCAGGGGCCGAATTAGTAAGTGGCAAAGCAAAGAGAGAACTGGAGAGCCTGCACTTTCGGCCATTGCCATTCTCTGCCTCTCACTTGGGGCAGGAGGGGAGGTGTAGGCTAGGGAGCCTGTTGTATCCGGGAGGAGAAAAGAGAACCCAACCTACTATCATCCAGACTATCCGTACTATCAGTTTGTTGAGGATCTTGTATCTATCTATCTTCTCTTAGTGCCAAAGAATCCTTTACTTCATCTAAAGGCAGCAGTGAAAGAAAAGAAAAGAAACAAGAAAAAAAAACCCATCGGTTCCCCAAAAAGGATTCAGAGTCCTTTGAAAAACAAGCTGCCAAACAGTCCTGCAAAAACTCTGCCAGGGGCCTGTGGCAGTCCCCAGAAGTTAATTGATGGGTTTCTAAAACATGAAGGAACTCCTGCAGAGAAACCCCTGGTAATTCTTTAACTTTGACCTTTATGAGATCTTAATGTACCCGGATAATGTGTGAATATAGCAATTTTATCCTTTGTTTTCTTAACAGGAAGAACTCTCTGCTTCTACTTCAGGTGTGCCAGGCCTTTCTAGTTTGCAGTCTGACCCAGCTGGCTGTGTGAGACCTCCAGCACCCAATCTAGCTGGAGCTGTTGAATTCAATGATGTGAAGACCTTGCTCAGAGAATGGATAACTACAATTTCAGGTTGGCTTGGCCTGTGTTAGATGGCCCAAGGCTGAGATGTAGTCGTCTCATGATTTGAGAACATAAACAGACTGAACTATGTAGATTTAACCCACTTCTCTAACTCTTATAAGCTTAAAGCAGCTACCCCAATATCTTTTAAATTCTGGGGCTTGCTTTGACAAGTAACAAAGCCCATTCCTTTGATAGCTGTTAGCGGCGTACTTGTAGAAATGCAGTTTTCCTTTATCCGTGTAGATTTCTGACTTTCTCCTTCAAAAAGATATACTGCTCCTCATTTGAAGTTTTTCCCCTTCCTAGATCCAATGGAAGAAGACATTCTCCAAGTTGTGAAATATTGTACTGATCTAATAGAAGAAAAAGATTTGGAAAAACTGGATCTAGTTATAAAATACATGAAAAGGTAGTAATTCATCACTTTTATCAAATGGGAAAAAAATGGCATGTCACAATGGCTAAGTGAGGGTGTACTGAGAAGTTTTAAACTTTCTGGGAAACTGTCCTCATTAGGGTTAATGAAAAAGTGACATCCATTATTCTGTCATGTTGACTAAGTAGTAAATGAAGTTCCAAGTGTGTCGCCCTCAAAGTCTTACATGTGATTAGAGGACCACAGGAAGTGGGCTGGGTGCAGTGGCTCACGCCTGTCATCACAGCACTTAACTTCGGGTGGCTGAGGTGGGTGCATCGTTTTAAGACCAGCCTGGCCAAAATGGCATAACCCCATCTCTACTAAAAAAATATAAAAAAAAAAAATAACCTGGGGGTGGTTGGTGCCCACCTGTGGTCCCAGTTACTTGGGAGGTAGAGGCTGCAGTGAGCCATGATTATACCACTGCACTCCAGCCTGATAGCTTGTCTCAAAACAAGCTTTTTTTTTTTTTAGTGTTCTAGGATTTTATTTTTTGAGATGAAGTCTCACTGTCACCCAGGCTGGAGTGCAGTGGTGACATCTTGGCTTACTGCAGCCTCTGCCTCCTGGGTTCCAGTGATTCTCCTGCCTCAGCCTCTCGGGTAGCTGGGATTATAGGCATGTGCCACCATGCCCAGCTAATTTTTGTATTTTCTATAGAGACGGGGTTTTACCATGTTTGGCCAGGCTAGTCTCCAACTCCCGACCTCAGGTGATCTGCCCACCTCGGCCTCCCAAAGTGCTGGGATTACAGGCATGAGCTTTTTTTTTTTTTCGCCAAAATCAATTTTTATTTTGAAAAAGGAATAGTCTTAAGGACTTTTCCTGATGGCATTTCTTCTCTCCCCACCTTTAGGTTGATGCAGCAATCGGTGGAATCGGTTTGGAATATGGCGTTTGACTTTATTCTTGACAATGTTCAGGTGGTTTTACAACAAACGTACGGAAGCACATTAAAAGTTACATAAATATTACCAGGGAGCCTGGTGCTCTCCGATCGCTGTGCCATAAGTGCTTGTGAGGTATTTGCAAAGTGCATGATAGTAATGCTCGGAGTTTTTATAATTTTAAATTTCTTTTAAAGCAAGTGTTTTGTACATTTCTTTTCATAAAGTGCCAAATTTGTCAGTATTGCATGTAAATAATTGTGTTAATTCTTTTACTGTAGCATAGATTCTATTTACAAAATGTTTGTTTATAAAGTTTTATGGATTTTTACAGTGAAGTGTTTACAGTTGTTTAATAAAGAACTGTATGTATATTTTGTACAGGCTCCTTTTTGTGAATCCTTAAAAACTCAACTCTAGGAAGCAACTACTGTTTATTATACTAAAAGGCTGAAAAACCTCCAGGCCAGACTGCTAAGCTCTGAAATTCCTGAGAGGTCTCAGACCGGGATTCTACTTGTTCCAAGAAAGGGTAAAGCTTCTAAACCATCTTATTCTTGTCTCCAAGCATGAACACAGGAGCATGTTAAGAAAATCTTTACTTCTTCCATGTGGAGAAATCTACATATTTTGAATTAGAAACACCCTCACACCCACTTGAAGATTTTTTCTTGGGAACATTATGTCCCATAGATCAGAGGTGATGTTGTCTTTGCCTCTACTGGCCATTGAGAAACTTTGATGATAAAAAAGAATGGTATAGATTTTCAAACGGATATAAAATATTTTTATGCTATATGTAATCCGTAACTTTAAAATAAAAATGTAGTTTAAAATTCTGTGCTAGTGGATATTTGGAACTTTTTCCTCAAACACCCCACACTGACTTCAACAACACCCTAAAACTAGCTACAGATTACTACTATGAATGAATCATTAAGTTGTGTCTGCAACAATTTAGAAGCACTAAGCCCAAATACCAGGAGATATATGTATGATGGAAGGAATTTTCTAGGACAAAACAGATCCAGATTAATGTATAAAAATCTCGACTGTTACCAGGTGCTGGCATACAAGGTAGTGTGATAGTTGGTAAGATAATTCTTGTCCTAGGAGGACAACTTGTGGGAGAGAAGCTACACTAACATGGAAGCCTAACAGAGCTTGCTGGTGGATGTCTGTTTTCTTTATTGGTAGTTTGGTTTGGAATTGTGATGATTACAATGGACTCATGACTACACAAGCAGTAAAAAGCAGCCAGCTGTGCTTTTACACCATGGTTTCACACAAAGCAGATAAATACCAGAATGCCTAATTTTCTATTTTATAAAAGCCCTAAAGGCATATGGCAGAAGAATGCTGGAAAAATCACTGTGGGAAGAATATGCATAAATAAAGAAGTATTTCTTACATCAAAAAAGTCCCAAGAATCACAAAATCTGCAGAAGCTTGGTTAATCAAATACTGCAGTACTGATTTAATCAGTATAAAATCGAAAGAGCTTTAGATCTGTAATAAAAATCCAAATTTGGGGAAGGGCAAACTTTAAAACAGCAGCCAAGTAGAGAAGGGTTGGGGAAAGGAGAGGTGAGTGAACAGGCACGTTGGAACTGTGGGGACATGTAATTGACCACTGTCAAACC